GGGAAAGGGGGATTTGAGGTTTGGGAACATTGGGAGAGCCAGGGAAAGGAGGATTCGGGATGGGATGGGAGAGGCAGGGAAAGGAGGATTTGGGGTTTGGGATGGGCTGACCCCACTTTCCTGAGAGCTATGGGAATATTGGGATGGGATGCGATGGGATGGGATGGGACGGGACGGGATGGGACAGGATGGGTTAATCCCACTCCCTGTGAGACCCACAGAAAAGTGGGAATTTGGGGATTTGGGGTTAGGGGATTTGGGGTTAGAGATTTTGGGGATTTGGGGTTTGAAGATTTGGGGTTTTAGGGATTTGGAGATTTGGCGTTTGAGGATTTGGGGTTTTGGGGATTTGGGGATTTGGGCGTTTGGTGATTTGGGGTTTTGGGGATTTGGGATTTGGGGTTTGGGATTTCGGGTTTGGGCTGGGGTTTGGGCTGGGCTGATCCCGCTGCCCGGGGCTCCGGCTTTTCCCCAGACGGAAGCCCTGACCCGTGGCCCCTTTCTCTCCCTCCCTCTCCAGAAAACGCCACGCACCCTCCCGGCCCCGGTGAGCTGCCACCCCCTGTCCACGTCCGGCTGTGTCCCCGAGTGTCCCCAAATGTCCTCGAGTGTCCATGGCAGCTTTTCTATGTCCGGCCGGCGAGGGGGATGGGGAACCCCGAGCCCAGCACCCTCCAACTGATCCCAAAACCTTTTCCCACAACATCTCCCCATCCAGAGCCATCCCAACCCCCCTGTCCCAATGTCCTCGTGTCCCTCTGTCCCTGTGTCCTCGTGTCCTGTGTCACCCTGTCCCCCATGTCCCCTGCTCCAGGTGACATCTCCGGAGGTCCCTTCCCAAGAATTCTGGGATTTTGAGATTTTGGGTTTTTGGGGTTTTGGGGTTTGGGATTTTGGGATTCTGGGATTCTGGGATTTTGGAATTTTGGGTTTTGGGGTTTTGAAATTTTGGGATTTGGGGATGTTGGGATTTTGAGATTCTGGGATATTTGGGGATTTGGGGATTTGGGATGTTGGGATTTTGAGATTCGGGGTTTTGAAATTCTGGGATTTTGGTATTTGGGATTCTGGGATTTGGGGATTTTGGGATTTTGGAATTTTGGAATTTTGGGATTTGGGATGTTGGGGATTTTGAGATTCTGGGATTTTAGGATTCTCCCGCCGCTGCTTCTGCAAAGCCGTTCATCCTCGTCCAGCGCCGCCTCCATCCCAGATCAGAGATTTTGGAATCAGGGTGGGATTTAGGGCTGGGTCCCGATGCTGGGAAGAGCCGGGATTATTTTGGGATGTCACCACCAGATCCTTTTCCCATTACAGGCTCCTTCTCCAGCAGCCAGGTCTGGGTCGTGGCTGGGATCACGATTGTGGTCGCCGTCTTGGTGATTTCATTCATCCTCCTCGTGATTTTCTGCAAATGCCATGGTGAGAGAATCCCACCCCAAAAACCGGCCTGGGAATGGGGGACAGAACCTGGCTGGGACCGGTTTGGGACCGGTTTGGGGCCGGTTTGGGACCGGTTTGGGGCCGGTTTGGGACCGGTTTGGGGTTCTGCTGACTTGGGGCTCATTTTGGGGTGGATTTAGGGCAGATCTGGGGCTGATTTGCGACCAATTTAGGGTTTATTTGGGACTGAATCGGGGCCAATTTGGTGCTAATTAGGGGACGATTTGGGGCTGATTTTGGGAGGATTTAGGGCTGATTCAGGGCCAATTTGGGGCTTATTTGGGACCAATTTTGGGTTCTGCTGGCTCGGGGTCAGTTTATGGCAGATTTGGGGTGGATTCAGGGTCAATTTGGGACTGATTTGGGGCCGATTTGGGGCTGCTTTGGGGTTCTGACCCGGTGTTGTTTCCTTCCCCAGGCTGGAGGAAATGGTGTCCATCCAAATCCGGCCCTACAAACGCAGGTGGGATTTCGGGGCGGTTCCCTGTCCTTTTTCCCGGTGCTTTTAGGGTCAGGGAAATCACCCCCATGCCATTTGGGATCGGGGCTGCGGGACCCCGACCCCGCTGCCCTGAAGGGGATGATCCCAGGGACGATCCCAAATCCCCAAATCCCCAAATCCCCATTTCCCCTCAACTTCATTTTTTGCCTGAAAACTTCATCCCAAACCTCCAGGAGAAATAAACGAGAATTTGGGATTTAAACACAAAAAAAAAAAAAGCGAATTTTCCCTGTCCTTGGTGCTGGAAACTCATCCCAATCCCGCAGCAAACGGGGAAGGGCGGGATGAGGAGAAAATCCCAATTCCGAGGGGTTTTGGGGTCAGGGTTTCACCCGAGCTTGGGATTCCCTCCGGGAAGGTTCCCTGCATCTCAAAATTCCCCAAATTCCCATTTTTTCCCCCATTTTCAGCGGCCACGCCCGAGCCCATGACGGTGTACGCCCAGGTGGGGCCTTCCCTGCAGGTGAGTCCTGGGAACTGTGGGATTTTTTTTGGGAATTGTGGGATTATTCGGGAATTCTGGAATAATTCGGGAATTGTGGAGTTATTCGGGAATTCTGGAATTGTGTGGTTATGGGGAAATTGTGGGATTATGAGGGAATTCTGGAATTATGAGAGAATTCTGGAATCATTAGAGAATTAGGGAATTATTAAAGAATTCTGGAATTATTACGAGGGGATTTTGGGGTTGGGAGGGAATTTCAAACCGCCCCATTCCCGCAATCCCAGAATGCTCCGGGGCACTCCTGGGAATGGGGCAGCGCTTCCCGAGATGGATCACAAAGGGGTCTCTGGATTCGGGATTTCTGGATTTGGGATCTCTGATCCTGATTCGGGATCTCTCATTTGGGGTTTCTGGATTTAGGATCTCTGATTTGGGATCTCTGATTTGGCGTCTCTGATTTGGGGTCTCTGATTTGGGATTTCTGGATTTGGGGTCTCTAATTTGGAATCTCTGATTTGGGGTCTGTGGATTTGGGATCTCCCGATTTGGAATCTCTGATTTGGGATCTCAGGGTTTGGGGTCTCTGGATTTGGGGTCTCTGATTTGGGATCTCTCATTTGGGATCTCCAGATTTGGGGTCTCTGATTTGGAGTCTCTGATTTGGGATCTCTCATTTGGGATCTCGGATTTGGGGTCTCCAGATTTGGGGTCTCCGGATCTCCAGATTTTGGGATCTCTTTCCCGACCCCGTTAAAAACCCTTTTCCCCAGTGCACCCCAAATGGGGTGAAAGGTGGATCCAAGGAAGATCCGGACACGGAATCTTCCAGAACCGTTTACTCCCTGGTCAAGCGTCCGGAGCAGGTGAGGGTCACCCCAAGGTGGGGACGGGGACAGGGACGGAGGGGTCCAGGGGCTCAACCCCAAATCCGTGGATCCCCTCAAACCCCAAATCCCAAATCCATAGAACTCCTCAGTCCCAAATCCATGGATATCCCCAACCGCAAATCCCAAATCCATGGACCCCCCCAACCCCAAATCCATGCAACTCCTCAAACCCCAAATCCCAAATCCATGGAACTCCTCAGCCCCAAATCCATGGATCTCCTCAAACCCCAAATCCCAAATCCATGGAACTCCTCAACCCCAAATCCAGCCCCAACCCCAAATCCATGCAACTCCTCAAACCCCAAATCCCAAATCCATGGAACTCCTCAACCCCAAATCCAGCCCCAACCCTAAATTCATGGAACTCCTCAAACCCAATCCCAAATCCCAAATCCATGGATCCCCTCAAACCCCAACCCCAAATCCTAAATCCATGGATCTCCTTAACCAACCCCAAATCCAACCCCAAATCCAACCCAATCCCACAGACTGGGATCGTCTTTCCTTTTCCCTCTGCCGCGATCCCAAAGCCGATCCGGTGTCCCTTTGTCACTGCAGGTGCATGATGGGAACACGGAAAATGTCACACCGAGCGGCCTGGACGTGGTTTAGGATCTGGAGCTGGTTTCGGATCTGGAACTGGTTTAGGATCTGAACTGCTTTATAGGATCAGAACTGATTTGAAGAACTTGGGACTGGTTTAAAGAATCTGGAACTGGTTTATAGGACCCAGAACTGGTTTATAGGGTCTGAATTGGTTTATGGGGTCTCCTCAGTCAGACCGACCGACCCCACAGCGTGACCCCGGAACTGCTTGGGAACCCGACACCCCAATCCCGCTCCGGACCCGGATCTCTCCCTCCCGGAATCGCCTCTCCCCTCTCATCGCCGCTGCCTCAGTTTCCCCCCTCAGCCTCAGTTTGGGATTTCGGAGCCTTTTGGGGTCTCTCTCCTGGATTTTGGCAGTTCTGTGGGATTTGGGCTCCTTTCCCACCTTTCCATCGGGATCCTGGGCTGAAACCCCACAAATTCCTCGAGGATTCGGGGACACTGGAATGAACCAGAGGAGCCTCCTAAAATGTTTATTTTTATGGAAAGAATTTAAAAGGACTTTTGTAGAGGAATTTTGACGGAATCCCAGAATTCCCAAAGCTGGAAAATCCCTCCAGGATCAACAAATCCAACTTGGGATCGATCCCAAGGTCCGGTGTTTCCATGGACACCTCGAGGGATGGGAACTCCAAGCTTTGATGTCTAAATCCTTTTTTTTTTAAGGAATTCTCTCCGGATTTTTTGGGATTTTTTTTCGGTTTTGAGAACGATTCTTTCTTTTACTGCTGCGCCACGTTCTCAAAAGTCACAAAAAAAAAATTTTTTTTGGGTTTCTGAGCAGCAAAAAGGAACTGAAAAAATAACGAACAGGAAGAGGAACCCTTCCCCCATCGCACTCCGTGGCCGCAGTTTGGGCACCTCCTCCCTTCCCCCACCCCAAAAACCCTTCCCAAAATCTGCCCCTCCCACCCCAAAAAAAAAAAATCAGCCCCACCCCGAATCCTGCAGGGCCAGGATTTGGGATTTGGGGTTTGGGATCCAGGATTTGGGATTTTTCAGATTCAGGATTTGGGATTTGGATTCGGCGTTTGGGATCTGGGATTTGAGATTCGGGATTCAGGATTTGGGATTTGGGATTTGGATTCGGGGTTTGGGATTTGAGATTCGGGATCTGCGATTTGGGATTCGGATTCGGGATTTGGGATTCGAGATTTGGGATTTATGATTTGGGATCTGGGATTCGAGATTTGGGATGAGTTCGAAATTTGGTGGGTTTGATGCGGGGTTTTAATTTTGGGGTGAGGGATTTGTGTGGGGCTCGGCGGGTTCCCAGCGGGAATTTGGGAATCCCAGAAGAAATCCCAGCAGGAATCCCGGCAGAAATCCGGGAATAATTTAATTTTTTTTTTTTTTTAATGAAAGAAGCTTTTTTGTGGAACAATTTCTGTTTTCCCCACACTTTCCCTGTTATTTCCTTTTCTTTTTTTAACACCTCGGATCAATTAAAATCAGTTCCATTTTTTAGAGGGATTTGCTTCGAATTTGTTCTGAGAAATCCCGTCCTTGTCTTGGATTGGGATTTATGGAGTTCCAGGGATTGCCCCAAAGGGATTTGGGAATTCTGGAATTTCCCCCAATCCTCGATTTGGGGTTGGGATGGCTCTGGTGATTCTGGGAATTGTCCCAAAGGGATTTTGGGAATTCTGGAATTTTCCCCAATCCTCCCCCAGATCTCCCAACCCTTTCCCTGCCCCTTCCCATGGAGAAACGAATCTGTGGGGTGGAAAAAATGAATTTTTGGGGTGGAAAATGATCTGTGGGGTGGAAAAATAATTCCATGGGGTGGAAAAATGAATTTTTGGGGTGGAGAAATGAACAATGGGGTGGAGGAAAAACTCCATGGGGTGGAGCAATGATCCATGGGATGGAAAAATGGATTTTTGGGGTGGAAAAATGGATCCATGAGATGGAATAAAGAATCTGTGGGGTGGAGAAATGAATCCATGGGGTGGGGAAATGGATCTGTGGGGTGGAAAAATAAATCTTTGGGGTGGAGAAATGAATTTTTGGGGTGGAGGAAAGAATTTTTGGGGTGGAGCAATGCTCCATAGCAGGGAGAAATGAATTTTTGGGGTGGAGAAATGAATCTTCGGGGTGGAAAATGAATTTTTGGGATGGAAAAATGAATTTTTGGGTGGAGAAATGAATTTTTGGGGTGGAGGAAGCACTCCCGGGGTGATCTCTGCCCGTTCCTCCCCAAATTTCGCCACCTGGGTGCCCCAACGGGCGCTTCCTGCGGGGGGGGCACAAAAGGGGAAGGAGGAGGG